GAATACATTTCAATGTTTTCACATTTGCACTATCTTCTTCCTGAAATATTCAAGAGCCTGGATAAAGTTGTGGTTCTGGAGGATGATGTTGTTGTCCAGCGAGACTTATCAGACTTGTGGAGCCTTGATATGGGAGGTAAAGTTAATGGTGCTGCACAGTGTTGTCAAGTGAGGTTTGGTGAGCTGAAAAGTTTTCTGGGTGAGAACGGTTACAATCAAAATGATTGCACTTGGATGTCAGGGTTGAATGTAATTGATCTGGCAAAGTGGCGAGAGCTTGATCTTTCTCAAACTTTCCGTAGTTTGGTCAAGGAGGTAAGTCCCATGAATGTTAATCTTCCTGATCATGAATCTTCCATTGAAGATTCTATAATATTTGTATTGCAAACTTAAGCCAATGCCCAGCCTATTTTATGTTTGTCATGTCTTTTATATGATATATCTGCTGATAATTTTTGTTTCTTGCATCGTACTCAACAGTCTTTCAACCTGTGCCTCTAATATTTTTGGTGATTGATCAAGGATAAATTTGAAAATTGAGTTGTTTTGAACGATGATTTTACCTGACTCTTCCTTTTCACTCGTAACATCTATTGACCAGAAGCTGATGATGCAGGACGGATCAACTAATGCGGATGTGTTGCGTGCAAGCTTGCTTACTTTTCAGGGGATGATCTACCCCCTTCATGATTCCTGGTCTCTATATGGGTTAGGTCATGTCTACAGGCATAATGTCCAAGACCTCAAAAAGGCTGCAACATTGCATTATAATGGCTATTTGAAACCTTGGCTGGAGTTGGGTATCCCAAAATACAAAGCTCACTGGAAGAAATTTCTAGACAGAGAAGATCTGTTCTTGAGCAAGTGTAACATAAATCCGTGATGAGTCGAAGATTCTACCACCGTCTACTACATATTTCATGAAATCTGGGGCTCAACTCATCAAGCATAATTTTCGTTGACAAATGGGATTGCCCGCATAACAGAGAACTCATTTTTTCGGTAAATAAACTACTAGCTTCATCCTGATCAAGTTTGCTAGTGGTGATTTCTGATATCATGAGTTTTGTGGTATTCTTTTGGTGTTGTTGATGAAGAAGAGAAAGCGATTGAGGTTTCTGTTTAGTCTGCTAGTTGGTTTGTTGAATGAGAATCTGAGTTGGAAAGTGTGGCAAATAAGGCAAAGACACCCAAAGGCTACAATTAATATTCATCCGGCAAGATTCGCTTGAATGAGAATATCTTGTTGTCCTATGCCTTAACAGGATTATTTGTCAGTTGATGTCATTCACATTAATATATAAATATACATATATAGTTAGATTAGGTTCTCACGCTTCTACTGAAACTAAATTCTTTTGACAATTCATATTCAATTTGATTATAGAGTTATTTGGAAGGCACTTTACCTATTTTGTCAAGCATTGTTTCTTCACTCTGATTGTGCAGCACAGCTATAACGAATACACATTGGAAGTTGTGGCAGCTACAATACTCTCTTAATCATTCTTTTCAGCCTATATCACTACTTCCAGCTTCCAAGCCAGGTATTTTATTCTCCTCCTTTGTTCCCTTTAAAGATGATATATGAGCTCAACTTTGATTCTGCTATGATAAGAACTTTCTTTCCTTCTTCCAATGATAAAAAATTAGGGTTTTGAAGTAGTTTTTCTAAGTTTTCTTTTGTGTTCCTTAGTTTATTACTATGGTTGGTGCATTCTGGAAATAACTGGAGTTTGATTTTGATTTTGAAAACTACAGATTCGTTAATTGTTCTCCAGTGACTTTGAAGTGAGATAGTTCGACCCTTACTAGAAATTTAAGTATAATTTAACTAGTTAAGGTTTATATATTTTTTACCAAGAGTTTGGATGTTCAAATTCTTTGACGAGATGCCCATATAACACTCCTGATAGAATTTTATATATAATATATATATATATGATCTGGAAGGTAAATTTAGACCCAAGAACTTATTTCTTGAAAGTTCTTTACAATATATATTCTACTAGCAACTAGATTATCATGATTTATAAGAATTCAAATGTCATTTGACCTAGATTTTGAAATTAATGAAGTGCCATTCAAGTGTGAATTTGTTGTTGTCTCACGTGGGATTATGAATTGTGAATTTGATTCCACTTAGATGTGAATAAATAGTTCATTATGATTCGATTTTATCTTATGAAGTTTGCGCATTGTTGGTCATGTGTTTTCGAATATTGGATCAGTTGTGATCACGAATATTCTAAAACCCCGCGCTGTTTGGAGAATGAGCAGAAACGGGGTGAGAAAGTAAGTTATCTACGTTCATTTGTAATGATCAAGATTTAGAGTATAATATGAAGCATTATAGAAAAACTACAAAAATGGACATGTTGACTACCTCCAACTCTTTTCTTCATTAAATCTAGCCGTCGATATTAGGTGGTTGACGTTGCTCTATTTGACCCACGTTTTCACATCGATCATATTTGAAGGATAGGCAATGCTCTTTAGAATTTATGTCCTAAAATCTTGTAATTAATAAATTAATTTAAATAATAATTTTAGTTGTAATTTAATACTAGTCCTTGGCATAAAAAAAATCCAATATTATTACTGTAATATGGATTTGCAATCATATTATAAAAAAATAATCTAAAATATCTAAAATGTAGGATAAGATTAGGTGCCTTATCCATGTAACGTTAGTAGTATGACTCACTTTGTAATTGTTTCAAATAATTTGATTCAAATCATTTAGGTAGTACTACGTGAATATGTATATTTTATATGATGAAGATTGAACTATAAAATATATATATTTTATAAATCGATCTTAATCTAGGATGAATTATGAACTCTTGATTACAATGTTTTTTTTTTTTTTTTTGTATGGATAAGCCGACAGATACAATGAACCTACTAGTTTGGAGATTTTACTAAATTGAGAGCGGAAAACATAATTTTATGAATTATAATTCATTCATTCCTATATATGGATAAGTAGATAAGAAGTAATTTCAAGACTTGAACAATGGGTCACACCTCTCACTTCGCCCAAGAAGAACTTAGTTTATAGCTTCATTATAAACAAATTGTTTATTATAATATAGTGGTATTTCAAAAACGATCTTTTGTAGCTGTAATTATAATTAATTTATGAAGAATCAACTTGTTTGTAATTATTATATTCATGAGCACAACTTATCCTAACGTACATAAAGTTGTAACTCTTAACGTACATAAAGTTGCAACTCTTAACGTACATAAAGTTGCAACTCTAGATCTAGCAAAGTGATTTATAATTAATAAATAAAATTTGATTAATTAAATAGTTTAACTAAACTAACTATTTAATTAATTGGGTTCAGATTGAAACGAATATTTAATATATACGATGTATTAAATATAAAAGAAAAAATATTATTTCTAATATTATAATAATTAATGTATATATATTTGAAATTTTAAATATATATTGAGATTTTTTATAATATTTAAATATGGTTTAATTAAAAAAAATTAATAAAGAAAATGTTAAAATGTATTATTCCAGATTTGACATTCTCCTAAATTGGAGTAAATAGGTGGTTGAGCTTTGTTGGATGAAATCCTTTGTACCCTTTGTTTATAAACTTTAGTCACTTTTTTTGGTGACCATCTCTCTCATGGAATCCATAATAATCCTAAATTGGCTCGTTACGTATCATCGTCAATCTCACTGTTTTAATGAGGGTGGATTGTGCATGGAAACCTCTTCTTATCAGATGCGTTTTAAAATCGTGAGGCTGCCGACGATACATAACATGCCAAAGCAAACAATATTTACTTGAACTTGGATTGTTAGAAATAGTACCATAGCTAGACACTGAGCGGTGTGCCAACGAGAACGTCAGGCTCCCAAAGGGGTGGATTGTGAGATCTCACGTTAGTTAAAGAGAGGAATGAAGCATTCCTTACAGGGTGTGGAAACGTCTCTCTAACCAACACGTTTTAAAACTGTGAGATTAACGACGATATCTAACGAACCAAAGTGGATAATATTTGCTAGCGGTGGGCTTGAGCTTAGGCTACTACAAATCTCTCCTCACTCCCTCTTTTATTCTCAATTTTAATGAGGATTCTCTGCTTCATTCGCGTATATCCCGTGAGTTAAATGAACCTCTTTAACCTTAAGTCAAATCGTCTCGAGGCTTCTTACCCGAACACAAACATTATGGTACAAAAAAAAAACACCACATGGGTAAGTTCATTGATTAGTTGGATATAGTGGGAGTAGGTGCATAAATGAGTCTCCCTCTGGTGCGAACATAGTCCTTTTGTTTTGTTGTCTTCAAGTACATACAAATACAAATACATTACGACAATTTCATTTCAATCAAATCTCATTCCAATAAATATATTAATTACTTTTAAATATGGTTTTATTATGTTTTAAGACTGAAAATTGCAATAGTTATGGATCGGTTTAAAAGTAATTAATATTAGGTATGACTTTATAACTCATTTAGGATTACTTAGTCATTAGCGTTCGGGTTTGTTCAATATCTTTATCTAAGCATTTGGATTGGATTAATAAACACATAGCAACATCGAAGAAAAAAACAAAAGGAAAGCTTTTGTTTCGGTCAGTAATGAACATTCAATCGTGTTAGTTTACATATCATTGTCATTGAACATCAATTCTATTCAAAATTCTTCAAACAACGTAATAAATGTTAAAACGAAGATGACAATTCCATTTATATCTAATTCGAACAATTAAATATTGTTGTGACTCACTTGACTTAGGCTTGAATTGACATAATTAGGAATTGATATGCTATTACATACTTGGTATGAACATACCTCAATTACCTAAGTTGTTATTTTTTCAACTAAAAAGTCAAATGTTCAAACAGTCACGTACATATATTGTTAAGCTAAAAGCGGGGACCTATACAAGCCGTGGAGCATGTGGTTTAATTCGATACAACTCACAAGACCTTCCCTACCCTTGACATTGAACAACAAAACCTATCTTTAACAAGATGGTAATTTCATACAGGTGTTGCATGGCTATCATCAGCTCATGTCGTGAGACGTATGGTCAAGTTCTATAACGCAAATGTATGGTCAAGCTCTGTAACGCAGACGTATGGTCAAGTTCTGTAATGCGAGAAGAGATACATTATTATCGAGCATCACTTGACAACAACGATCTCCATTAAATGCTCGTATATATTGTCCACCATAGTCTCATAATTTTGCATACTTCATATTCTTCAATCATTTTTCTATAGTATATTCCTTCAATCATTTGAAGGACCCTCATCCTTCCTTTCTTTATGCTTTATATCCAACAATGTCTCTCTCTCATACTTAGAACCTTTCTATTTCCAAGATGCGGGTGAAAATCATGCGCAATTGGATAGACAAAGTCTAATATCTAGAGAACAATAATTTACATTATGATCCATTTATATATATACACATTATGGTTCAATTTCACACTCATCTAATCTCGAGGCAAAAAGAGAATTATTTAAGAGGCGAAGATAATTTGGTATACAATGGACATGGTAAAAAGTTTATAATCATAACAAGATGAATATCAAAAGCGTCATTATGGTTGGAAAAGGGGGAAATGAAAATAACCATTATGATGATATTATCGAAACAAAAACCAATAATATATAGAATTTTTTAAAAAATAAAGAGAAAGAAAGAACTTCAGTACCGTGGAATGTGGTTGTTGTTGGTGGCCGGTGCAGCAGCAGCAGCGGCGGCGGCGGCATGATGATGAAACGGCGGCTTCCAAGCTGAGGCAGTGAGCAAACAAAGATCCTTCCATCCAAGTTTCAGAGTCCCATGATCTTCAACAAGCGTATACCCATCGGAAGGGAACATTCCGAGGAGGAGAGTGGCCTGAGTTGCAGCATTTCCGGCGAGAGAAATGCCCTTAAACCCAGATTGCTGTAGCTTTTCTCTCCAGTTTTGGAACTTTACTTCGCCGGTCCTCGACGGCCCACCCACGGCCAGCACGTTTCTGATCTCCCTTGACAAAAGTTGCTGCTCCACTAAGTGTCTCTCTTCACTCTCTTCGCCATAGCTGACACCCAATGAGTCAAACAGTGCGGAATAGTAGTGAATGGCCTCTACGAATCTCCCCAAGAACGAGCCTGTGTGGCTTAGATCTTGTTCCACCACCGTCACCACTTTTGGGGCCAATCTGATAATCAATTTCAGACATAGATACAGCAATGTTTGAGTATGCAAACTAATCAATGAGAAGAAATGCATGAATTATTCAGTCAAATGTCACAGTTTGAAAGGCTGCACAGCCTTTTAACTGTGCATTGCAGAGATCAACAATGAAATTAACGTAACCCATTTACTATACCCACATGAGAGATCAGAAACAAAACGTAAAGCGGTCATTCAAACCAAGTTTATGAAGACTATTCATCCTAGTGAACAAACGAGAAGGTAAAGATTAAGACTAAGAATCAGTAATTAATGGCGAAACCCCACGAAAGATAATCAAAATTTCATACCTCTGCAAAAGCCATAGCGTATTGGAATCAGAACCAGTGACTTCATAAAGAGAGTGCTGCATCCAATGAACGGCAACGGCTTCCCTTTTGCTCACGTTGAGCCTCTCGAAGTCTAAATTGCCAATTTTATCAGCCACAGGGAAGAAATCGAAGGGAAGGCCTAGCTTCTCGGCGAATTCAGTGAGGCGCTTGCCAGTGGCCTCAAGAACTTGCTGAGAGGTCCCCAGCCCTGTAAGGCGGACATACGGCGGCCCGCCAGGCCTAGACGCCAAGATGTGGAAGAGGCCAGGCCATTGAAGGCCTTGCATGATGTCTAGATCTATGATGTGAACTCTCTCTTCCCTTTCAAAAGCTTCTTGTATGGCTTGATTGGCAGTGAAGTGTGAGAATTTGACAAATGGGCTTATGCCATTGAAGACCTGGAAGGCTGAGGCTATTTTCTGGCTGTGCGTATGGGGCATCAACGATGGCGGCAGAGCTGCATATATGCCTAAACAAGAGCTTACAAGCCTCGCCGACATTGCTTCTGAGAAATACGCCGCTACCCTCTGTGCCGATGTGCCGAAGGGTGTGGACAACTCGGAGATTTCCAAGAGCATCTTGTTGGCTTCTTCTAAATTATCAGCAGAAACGGCTTCGGCACATTGAAGAAGTAATGTCAAGAGGTGTAACCCTTCTTCGTCTCTCTTCTGTTGCCTCATCTCCTCTTTTATCTCTCTAATTAGCAAAGCAGTGGCTGAAGGGTTATTACTCGGCTGTGGCGCTGCCGCAGCCGCTGCCGCTGGCGCCGGCTGTGCCACCGCCGCCTTTACATTCACCGGACAGGAGTTCTGATGTTCTGATTGTGGCTTTGAAGGGACATGGTTTAGAGAAACAAGCGACGACGGTGTAACAGAAGAGAGATTAAGTTGATGATGACCGGGGAGCCGCTGTAAGACATCGTCGCCGGAGGGGGTGGGGACTGGCGGAGTGGTTGCTCCCCAGTGAAGATACGGCTCATGAAACGGTGGCTGAGAGGGGAAAGTAGGAAAATTATGCAGAGAAGAAGAATCAAGATTAAGCTTCAAACCAGAACAATCATGCTCTTGCTCATGCTGTTCTTGATTGAACTGCCTCTGCTGCAACCCCAGCGCGGCCACGGGCAAAGTGGATTTCCTCAGTCGATGATCCTCAGCAACGAAGTTAGGAACACTAGGTTCCGTCAAAGTACGAAGACGAAACTCAAGAAGGTTCGCAAGATTGGGGTTACAGGGGTAGATAATCTCACGTACGTTCTGAATAAGTTGAGGAATGGATATGGCGGTGGAGCTGTGGATTAAATCCTTAATGATGCCGTCGATCCAAGCGGTGGCGGAGGAATCATCCATGGGAGAAGAAGCGGCGGCGATAATGGAGGTTGTTGCAGTAGTGGGAGGATTATGAAGAAGAATCTGAGATGGATTAGGAAGGGGGAAAGGATTACTCCGAGTATTTAACTTGTGGTGGTGATTCGATTCCGGTGGGAACAACGGCAAACCAGAGAAACCACAGACTGCAGGATTCTGCAAGTGATGGTGGGGCTGCGGACGAAGAACAGGAAGAGTACTATCAAGAAGAGTCGCGTTGTTGTTATTGTTATTGTTGGAGGTAGTGGAAGAGGCCGTAGCATCAGAAGCAGAAGGAGGATTTGATAAATTTGTCCCTTCGATTACACCTGACGTCAGAGCGGTTAAATTATGCACAGTGGAGTGGTTACCGCCATGGCTAGGGTTTGAAGAAGAACAATAATTCACATTCCCTTTAATTTCTCCACAAGCAAAAGGACGATCAGAACCTAAACTCCGCCGCGAAAGCCGAGAATGAACAGATGCAGTGACTCCACCGCCGTCGATCTCCATCTCCGACGCGATTCTCTTCCGCACCATTTTTCGCGATTGAATAACCTGAACTTGAACAGTCTGTTGATGATTACGTTCTTCACTGCCGTTGCTGTTCGTCGATGCACTCGTCAAAGGACTATCATCAAAACCGCCATTAACACGTCCGGTGGAATCGCCGAGCAAAGCGTAGGCAGCCATTGGAGGAAGGAAGGAAGTAAAAGATGAAGGAAAACACAGAAGGTCTGACAATGGCGGCGAGTGATACTCTTCATAAAGGAAGAGGAGGTAGCAGGATCAATGGCTACCACCATTAACGCGAGTTTTAAGAGATTAAAGAACAGAATGAATACAAAGCGAGATCCAAACAGAAAACGGCACCAAGATTGGGACAGCAAATTAAGGATTCTTCTCTCTCTAAATCCTCGAGGAAGAACACGAACACGAACACGATCACGAGCCCCTATGCGCTCATGCTTTTGAATAATGCAAAGTACGCGGAAGCCATGGATTTTGGATGCATCTGAGAGTGAGAGAAAAAGCTTTATTTAAAAAACAAAAAACAATATCGAGAAGAGGAACTGAAAAGGAAACAGTATTAAAAAAACATGGACGAAGAGAGAGAAGATTGAGATGAATCAGACCCACAGAGAAAACACGGCTGAGATTTTATCTTCTCCTTTAGGGTTACACTTCGAGGTGGAGCTTCTTCACTGTCGCATCCATGGCGGAAATGGAGAAACAGAAACGACCCACCATTGTTGCAGCTTCCAATTCCCAAATATCTCTTTGAAAAACACTACTCGCTTCCCCTGCCCCCAAATCTTTGCTTTTCACTTTTCCATTTTCTTTTTTCTTTTTTCTTTTTTTTTAGTTCAAATATATATATATATATATATATATATATATGTATATATTTCTTCATGAAAGGTCAAAAGTAAACAAATCATAATTAAACTTTTAATTCTATAAATAAAAAATACTTATATTATACAAATATCTCAAAACGTTAAAAAAAAATATATTAAATAAATATTATTTCCATTAAAATGATGAAAAATATCTAATTTATAGCAATATTCGTGTAAATTAAGTAAATAATGATATACTTCAGCCATAATATTTTTAAGAGAGTATATTTTAAAAATAATTTAAAATAAATTTAATTTAACAAAATAAAAACAATAATTTGTTATTTATTTTTTTAAAATACTATATGTAAAGTTGCAGAAATATTATTTCAAGAAAGAATTATGGGTTTGACTTTTCAAAAAAGAAAAAGCATAAAAATAATAATAATAATAATAATAATAAAAAAAAAAAAGCTTCCAATTGCTTCCATGAAGCCAATGATGATAGAGCAGACCAAGAACTGGCCTACTCAACAATTTTCATTTTTATTCTTAAATTTTAATATTTATTTATAAAAATATATAGTTTTATAACTTAATTAATTTAAATTTATATTATGCTCCTAATTCAAAATTTAAATTATTTATTTTAAAATTAAATTTAGCTATTTAAAAATGTATTGGGATTAAAATTATATTTTAAATTAAAAAATTAAAGTAATTTAAAATTTAGAACTTACTTGAAATATGTACTTATAAAAATAAATAAATAAATAAATAAATAAATTGAGGCATTGGGAAACCAAGGAAAAGTGCATTGGTAAAATCCCCATATAAGTTTGAAAAGGTTGAAGAAAAGGGATAGGTAAAAAAGGTGGGATATTAATTAATTAATTAATTAATTAATTAATATTATTTTTTTAAAAAATAATAAATAAATAAAGGTGGGGGAGGTGATTGGAAAGCGAGAATATTGACATTTTATAATATATAATAATATTATTATTATATTTATCCCAAAAAAAACGGGGTAAAAAAGTCAATATATATGGGGAAATGGAAGCCAAAAAGTATGTTTCAAAAAATATATTTTAAATTCTATATTTTTTGTAGCTATAAATTTAATTATTTATATAATTATAACACTAATTATAAATAATTAAAAAAACAAAAATAAAAACCCTAATAAATATTGTTTTATTTTGGTTTCTTTTTACTACTGTGAGCTGCTTGCATATATAACGGTCTCTTTCAAAATCTCTCTTTCCCTTAGTATTCTAAAACTTCTTAAACTGAGGTCAGAGACTCGAGCATATATCGTTTGACCGTAGGCGACGTAAAAACAAATTGGCTTAGCTCACTTGTCTTTGAGCACAAGCTCTCGTGACTTATACAAATGGAGATAGTATTCCTCACTTATAAACACATGATCTTTCACTAAAT